GTAATTCAAGTGGGAAATAAGTTAAATCCCCAGAATGGAGACAGTAATAAAGAAATAGTCATCAACTCTTCAAAGTCACTGGCATTTGTGTTCCTCTTTTAAGAGACTTCATGGTGCAATACAGATCCTGGGCAAACAGCAGAAATCTATCGAAAGTTTACAGCATTGGAAAATGAATAATATCTATAAAAAATGAGTTGTACTCTTCATTTATTAATATATATTAAAATAAAGGAAATACTTTCTGATTTCCATTGAAATGTAAGTTCCATAAGGCCGTGGAAGTTGAGGATTTGCCTTTCCACTACTATATTTTCAGTGCCTAGAACAGGGTTCGGTACATATCAAGGTCTGAATGTATATTTATTGAATGCATAAATTAATGATTGATGCCGGTAGACATCATAAACCCTTATTTAAGTAGGTAAAATAGCATTTTCAGTAAGTTGGTTTCTTCATTTCCAAAATCAGAGTTTACAAAGAGCTACACAACCACATAAACATCTCCAAATACTTAATCTACCAATTAAACTTAACTTAGAATTTCAGAGTTCAGGATCCTATAGAAAACCACTGGATGGAAAGTTTATTTTTTGGTCTAAAGAAAATATATATGTTTAATATACTTCTGTCACAGGGTTCTTCATTGTTGTTCCTTTTTTTTCTAGGCAAAAATTGATATTGAGGGTTTTTTCCACCATTCAGGAAAATCATTTTTTGTCTATAAATATTAATAGGTTTAGTAATAAATTACACACTTGAATGGCATTTTATTACTTAAAACTAAAATATTAAAAACCTTATTTGAAATGCACAGAGAAATCATGTAATTTAAATCACCTTAGACTTGGAAATGGACTGCAAACCACTGCTTAGAAAGAAGTATAATTCTTAAAATATGTATTTTGGTAATGAGCCAATGTATTCCACAGACTCATCTAAAAAGAAAGTGGATAGGTCCTCTGGTCCATTATGCTTTTCCTCAGATAAGCAAACTCTTTTTATTTTCTTCCCCAGGCCATTCTTTAAAATTAATAACATAAGCACTGAAGTTAGAATTGATAAAGACCAATTTTTCTGACTATAGAAATAAGATTTTCTACTTTCTGAAAATGAATTTACCAACAATGTTATAAGCCAAGAGCATAATCTTCTCAAAAAAAAAAATCCTACAGATTGGCGACATGAAATATATACTCAAAAGTGTCTCCAAATCATGTATTTTCACTTGGAATATTTGGAATTAGTCATTTAAGCATTGACATTAATTTATTTCTTGACTGTATAGTAGATGAATTTCAAAGATTAATTCTATCGGATCATTTTAGAGACAGAAATAATAATTTTATTCAGGATTCAATCATTATCACTAGACCCTCAATCAACATTTATCAGAACCAGAGCATAAGATACTCTTCTTGCCCTAAGTTTTGTCTAGAATTCCTTAATTCTAATTAGTCACAAAAATACTAAACATGTGGTTTGTTTCAAGATGCTTACCGTAGTAGTAAGTTAGCCTACTTTTAGGTAAGATAAAATAGGTGTTAAATTTAGCTTTTAAATCTTGCTCAGTTCACTAATCAGAGTTATTTTCATGTCACTTCCTCATGAAGAACTTTCAGTGACTCCACACCGCACACAAAATAAAACCTGTTTTCCTTCACTTGATAGTTAAGCATGTCTCTAATCTCCTCGTCTTCTTTTTCAGCCTAATTCTCATTGTTCTTGAACTGTCCACTATAAACCAGTCATATCAGACCTTCTACTCTTTCTGAAGATGTCTGAAATCTACACCTCCAAGGTGCTTGTGCAACACAAAGGAAAATTCTCCTTTTCCACCAATAACTCCTCCCATTCTTGAAGGCTACACCAAACACTTGCCCTTAGTTTTATAAAATGTTCCCATCCTTCCCTTACTTGTCCACTCACTTCACAGTTTGAAGTTCTTTGCCACTTTATGTTAGAATTTCTTGTATATCCATCTGCCTTGCCTGCTAAGCTGTGTGGCTGTGATGAGGAAGGATCTTGTCTTATTCATATTTGCATTTATCGTATAAATAGATAAGTTTCCCGTTAAGAGTTGTGAGCTGAATTGAACAAAATTGAATTGAATTGAACTGAACTGAATTGATGAACTGAATAGAATGAAATCAAGCTGAATTGAAACTGGGAGCCAGGGTAGTGGTGGGGATGGGAATATGACATCAGACCAATTCATTCACAGATCAATTAGCAATTACATTTCTGGGCCCAACTGAGATCTGAGATCTCTATTAGTCACTACTGGAAATACATAAAAAGGAAAACACCTTCAAGAATCCTCTTAATAATGCCTCAAATTATCTCATTGGAGGAAGAAGAGAGCTAAATTTGACCATGCAATTTGGCCATTTAATCTTTAAAACAACCATTTAAAGGGAGCATTACTTAAAAATGAAAAAACTGAAGCCCAAAGTCACACAGCAGTTGTGTGCAAGATCACATCTCTCAAGCCCCACAGTGTGTGCTCTCACAACCACATGAAATTGTTATCCACACCTTTTAAAATGTCATTCCTATTTTTATAAATAAAAAGTACTTACTAGCTGCAGAATTGACCCATATTCTCAGAGGTAACTAACATTTTTCGTTTTCAACTTTTGTCTATGAGAATAAACAAACAACATATACATTTTTTCTAATGTTAGACCGCTCTGTATATGTCACATGGTACAATAATGTTTCACTTTATACACTCAACATTTTCCATATTATTCCAACACTCACCTATAAGTTTTTATGCTCTTACGTTCCAATTATATATTAAACATGATTAATACTATAAATTTTGTATTGTTAGACTTTTAGGTTGTTTTCTACCTTTTACCATTATGTGTAAAATTCTGGTAAACATCCTTGGGCCTAGATACTTTTGCGTATCTCTGATTGTTTATCTGGTGTTTAAATTTCAGCTTTAGTGGAAAAGGGAAAGAAAGGCACAGAGAAATTAAGCTGTATCTGATTTCACACTTCTGAAAAGTGGATTCCAGCTTTCAGTGCAAATCATCTAAAACAGGGTTTCTCAACCTCAAGCACTGTTAACATTTTGGACCAGATAATTCTCTGTTGCAGAGGACTTCCCTGTGTATTGTAAGATGCTTAGCAGTATCCCTGGCCTTTATCCCTAGATGTCAGTAGTAACCTCCATCCATGTACTCATGACGATCAAAAATGTCTTCAGATGTCAACAACTGTCCTGGAGGTGGATCATAAGACCTCTCCTCTACTGAAAATCACTGAGCTTATGTAAGAGTCAGTTCCATTATAGCCATCAACATTATACACACCTGACTTTGGAAGAGGAAGAAAAAAATCAACATATAAATATACCTCATTTTCAAAAACTGGTAGAGGTCCAGAAGAGTGCAACAAATATTTTGCATTATACAAAACTATCAAAATCCTCAACTTCAAGGAAATACAACAAGCATTCCTGAACAACCAAACGATATCCAAAAATGTACAGAAAACCAGTACCAGTTTTGTGCCAAGAATGACAAAGCTGAATGTATAAAAAACAGTCTTTTAATAGCCTGCAATATAAGACACTTCTCAGTAGCTTGTTGAAAAATGAAGATAAAACCTTGAATGGAGACAGATTGATATGTAAAGAAAAAGGAGTAGAGGTTAATGAATTATTTCTAAATCAATATAATGTAATAAAATTCTCTCTTCTGTGAAAATGTGAAATTTGCATTTATGCCCAGTGAAATATAGATGAACAGTGATGGTGCTTATTACTCCTGTCACAGAGAAAAAAATCAGGGCACATTATCTACTAGTTACGTTTCTTCAAAACGGATTGACCTTAATACATTTTTCCCTTCACTGATCTTACAGAGTTTACTGAATATAGCATGTCTTGATTAAAATTGCCCACATCTTAATTCAAGTCACCCCTTTCTGTAACTCATATATCTTCGATCATTTCTTTAAATTAACTGTTTAAGTAATGGGACTAATGCAATCCCTTAGTCATGAGATATTTAAAAACTCAAATAGGGAGTTTCCAAAATGAAATTTTCAAGAAAACTAAACAGAAGATATTAAAATAACATGTTTGTCCATCTGTAGGTTTAGCATATAAATTCTCTGAGGATAAGATAGAACTCTACAAAGACTCAGAGGTAAATTTTGCTGATGTTCAAAAGAGCTATGTGTTCGCAGTTTGAGACTATTCTGTCCTGCTTTCTCTAACTCAAACATTTTTAAGCTTCCATTATTTGATACACAGTCCTTAAATGGATATTTTTGTGGTTGTTAACCCAGTGTGGCTCTATGTTTTTGTTATTTGCCTACTTAGCAACTGACTGGCCTTAACGGTTGATCTGATTTGGGCATTAAGAAAAGTAAAAACACCTAATTATCCATTTGGCAGTCCACAGCTTATGAAGAAAACTGAGAGCTCTTATATTTTCATTTGGGTCAGATCTATTACTATTGTGGCCGAAACTGCACAACAGAAGTACGTGGGAATTTTTTTCATTACAAACCTACAAGGTCATATGAAGAGAAGAAACATGGGACCCAAGGAGGTGTCGAGTGCCACATGATGAGACCAGAGAGGCTCTCAACAAGATTAGTTCACTAGGACAGTGGGTTCTAAACACATCCTTTCTTTGCAAATGAAGACTTTTTGATTATTAAAAGTGAAACACATGTCTCAATTAAAATTTTTTGAGAAACACTCCATCAGAGCTATTCTTTGCAGCTTCATAATAATCTTGAGCTATAAAACCAGTATTTATGCTTTTAATTAATAATCTCTTGAGCCTGTGCTTCAAAATATTTTTTACAGGGTAAATTTATGTCCTGTGTATGTACACATAAAGTGGAATAGAAAAATAAAACTGTCTCCCTGTCATTGTCAGGGGTAATGGTGGACTCATTACTTGACTTGTATCCTCTCTAGGGCATCTTGAACAGCACATACAATCATATGACTTTCACCCCGTACTCACACTTATCCCCGACTCTCATCCCACGGTTAGACTACTTTCTGCTGTGGCTCTCTGAAGGGAAAGCGCGTGGTATACTGTTCAGAGAAAGAAAAAACAAATGTATTGAGACAGGGCTGAAATTGGAAATATTCTGCCTGGACGAACAAATAACTTGCTCTTGTTAGGTCTGTCTAATGTAATACAGCTAATTAAACATAATACACATACGCTTTTCTAGTAAATTACTTTTACCAAGTTTCTTTCAATACGTAGTAAAAAGAATGCTCACTAAGTTCACACACACACACACACACACACACAATGCACACACAACTAACAGGACTTAAAACAGTATGCCAAATAGTCCCATCTTTAAAGCACACTGAGGTAGTCAGAACTGAGTTTGTAGAATATTTTTACAAATTTCTTTAATTCATTTTAAACATGGAGACTGTATGGGGAAATGCAAATTATAAAGTGATAAATGCTTATGTCAGTTATAAGAGAAATTCTGAAAGGAATAAGTAAGAATAAGCACAAATGTAGTTGTTTTTAGAACCTGCTGAGATTCAGCTCTTCAGCAACAGATCCAAGAAAAGTGTGAGACAGAATAAATGTCCTATTTTCTTTCTTGTGCCTGGAGATTACTTTAAGTTGAATAGGTGACTTCATCATTTTCTTGCACTTTTTGTAATTCTAGGACAATTGCCAATGACACGTCTTTCTCACTATTCTAAAGCATCAATTCAAAACTTGTTTACACAAAAATTTCCAGGAAAAATATTCAGCTGAAATATAGTTCCTCTCTCTCTCTCTCTCTCTCTCTGGTCAGTGCTACCCATCCCAAGGTATTAAGACTTTTTTTTCCTGCGGCAGTTAATACGAAATTGCCCACATCCATCATTTTTAATGCAAGTAATATTCATACCCATCAGAGAAATATATGAAAGACAAATACCCAGATTGCTTAAGATGGTCTCAAGGTCAATCTCAACGATCCACCAGAAACATTTACAGGCACTGGAAATTGCTTATAATTTGTCAGTAATCTTTTAGAGCACTCTTCGGTAAATAAGTGGCACCTCTCTATTTTGAAATGGCCAATACAAGTTTTGACAAAGAGATCAGGCTTGGGCTAGGCTGAATGAAAGAGAACATATTTGTGGCTGGGGAAGATCAGTGGTAGACAGCTCCCCCAGTGCTCTTTTCCAGTAGAGGGGTTGATACACCTCTTTGACTTCATACAAGACTACCTAGCATTAACCTTGCACTTACTTTTTTTTATGGAAGATTTTTTTTTATGGAAGACATAAACAGTGTGAGGTTTGTAAAATATTTCACCTCTGAATTTTTTAATGGGAGATTTATCAATTGGACAAAACTAGAAGGTGAATTGAAGAACCTTAGCAAATTTCTAAATTGGATATTAATTTTACAACAGATTTTGAAGATGTCAATATTTTTCTTACATGAGATGATGATCCCTAAGTACAGAAGTCTTGAGTAAAAACTAAAACGAAATTTGAAACCAGGACAAAATGTCATCCTCCTATGAGAAAGTAGTGAAAAACACTGACATAGCAGCATAGACACTGGAGGAAAAATAAGTACCGGGGTGGGAGGTCGTTAAAACAAAGAGGGAAGCTTTGTGGATTAAATCTCCAAAGAAGTCAATTAAAAGGAAAGAGCAAATATTAATGCTGTCATACAATTTTAAAATAGCATCAGATTAAAAAGAACCACTGGCTGCTTTCATGCTTATTTTTTCCATGAAGAAAAGTTATATCAGCTCTGGTGGGGCAGATCAGATGATTTTAGAAACCACATCCTCATTACTCAGAACCAGATTCCACCTTTCGGTATTTCAGTATTATGAGTTCTGTCCCCAATTTCTCCCTTTGAAACCACTGCATGTGTTCTCAGTGGTCCAGTGACTACTACTGATGCTAATCATGTCCCTCATTTTCATAATCATAGCGATGTTGAACACGAAGTAGGTCAGGCAAGAGAGGGGAAGGTTATAACTGGGGAGTGGGTCAATGTGTGCTAGAAATATGAAACACACACACAATGACCTTTCTATTTTAAAAAATGGCTACTAAATAAGAGTTAAAAATAATTGTCTGCTTCCCCTTTTCTGATTTTTTGATGATGCATGTTCACTATTGGTGAACACTGATCCCATTTTGATACCATGCCTAGAGTGCTTCTGCACTCACTCCTCTCCATGGTAGAATAATCAGGGCAAAGTCACTCCAGGGAAACAAGGATACTTCCCCTCTCCCTCTCCTGTTCCCTTCAAACAAAGTATAATCTCCAATTCCTTTTATATTCATAAGGAAGACCAAGTGAGTTGCAGCCCTTCTGTAGCTTCTTCACCTTGAGCTCAGAGGGTAACTTGTTAATTGAGGGTGTAATAAAGAGGCTCTCCTTTGTCTAATCTTCTTTCACCAATGTATTGGTTATCTGTTGCCACATAACAAACACCCCCCACCAATCGTCATTTGTAATTTTTCACACTTTCTGTAAGTCTGAGAGTCCAATGGGGCACAGTGAGACCAGCTCATCTCTGCTCCACGGTGTCTGGGATCTCAGCTAGAACTTGAAAACGTGGCTCCAATCAAGAGAACACTCATTCACTTGTGTGTCATACAGTTGATGCAGGAGGAGATTTTAGCCGGGCTGTTGCCTGCAGCATCCACACATGGCTCTCCATGTGACCTGGGCTTTCTTGTAACATGATGGATGACTCCCAAAGGCATGTGTTCTGAGACAGAAAGAGAGACAGAGAGATACACAGAGAGAGAGACAGAGAGATAGAAAGACAAAAAGAGAGAGAGAGAGATGGGGAAGTGGGACGATGCTATATCCTTTTATTACCTATGCTCAGAAGACACACGGCATCACTTCCACTATCCTCTGTTGGACAGGACAGTCACGGGGGAGGGAACACAGACCCATCATCCATGTGGGAGGAGTGTCAGCCACTTTATAAGAAGAGCATATGGGACAGGATTGGAAGCACTTTGAAAAACACAAGCTATCACCACCAGTATTAGAATGCTGTTGTGTGTTTAACTTCAGTTGACTTCTGGAGGAAGGATGAATTATTAGGTTCTCTTAACCTACAAGTATTCTCAGCAGTTATTTTAGTTTCACAGTCGTGTATTTCCTCCATATACAAGGCAATATGCTAGGAAGTATTATAAGAATATTTTATACTAGGATTCAGACTCTGCCTTCACAGACTTAATAATTTAATGTCTTACATTTCCATAGTGCTCTATATTTTCAAGACTTATGCATATCGACTATCTTACTTTATCCCTTAAATATTCTTATAATTGGCTGTATCTATTTTGCATATGAGTAAACTGAAATTCAGAAGCATTCAGGGACTTACCCAGGGTCACACGCTTTCGTCGTGTAACGAATAATGGAAACAAGACTCACATTACAGAGGAAACTTCCTATTATTTCTTTACTGTGCAGTGAAGTCTTTTCTATTTTTCTTCTCTCCCACTAGACTGCAGAGATAGTCATCCAAAAAAAGTAACTTTATAACGTAAAAATACTAGTTCAAATACAACTATTATAATCTTGTGTTCAGTACTTCTTAATACACCCTCTACTCCCCACATTAAAAAAAAGAAAGAAAACTAACTGGGGTGACGAAGGGTAGAAACTGCCAAAGCAGAGGTGGCCGATAAGGAAAGACCATTCAGATGGCTGCTAGGGATTCCTCTGTCCTGGGTTATAAACTGTTATGAATCAGTCAAAGGTAGTGGATAGTTCACTCTGCTTAGTGCTTTGTAGATGCGCCCCAAAGGATATTCTACTGATGTAGATTTTAAGAATGCCTGAACCATGTAGCTAAAAGATAAAGACTCAACATGGCAATATAAATGAGAAGACATCTAATCTTTGTCTGGAGTTTGTATTACATTTCTGAGGTTGCCGCAATAAAACACAGCATACTGGGAGGCTTAAACAACAGAGATTTATTGTCCCACAGCTCTAGAGGCTAGACATCCAAGATCAAAGTGTCGGCAGGGTTGGTTCCATCCGAGGTCTCTCTCCCTGGCTTACGGATGGCCGGCCACCTTCTCACTATGTCTTCACTTTGTCTTCCCTCTGTGCATGTCTCTTTCTCATCACATAGTGTTCTTTTTATAAGGATACAAGTCATATCACATGAGAGCCCACCTTAATTGACCTCATTTTAACTAATTACATCTGCAGTGACCCTGCTGCCAAATAAATTCACATTTTGAGGCATTAGGTAAGGACTTCAATATCTGAATGTGTTGGATACATAATCCAACTCATAACAAAATTCCATCAACTCTACTGCATAAAAACAAATAGAAAAGCCTTACTAATAACATTTAAGACAGGTAGTCATTCTGTTGTACACTGATCAAGGTGAAGTAACATTCCACCACAGAGATCAGATGAAAACAAAATGAAAGTGGGGCCGTGGTAATCCATCCATGTACCTGGTTGGGTTGCATTATCGCAAAGACAAATAATATCTGCATTTTCATAGCCAGGCAGGAGCCAACACAGAAGCATTTTTCTATTACTTTTTAGCTCATCTACCACCACAATCTATTTACTCAGGTTGCCTCTATAACACCCTTTATGTCTGGGTCTTTCTGAATGTTTCCGATATATGGAAGGACAGGGTCTACTCAGAAACTAGTTTCATAATGGTCTTGCTGCCAAATATGCAGGCAGAACCCAGGGATTTATGAATAAATCAAGGCAAACTTTCAGATACCTTGCCAAATGAATTCAAAAAAATATTCTGAAAGCACTGAGAGAAAGGGAAATAAATTTTGATTCAAGACTAATGCCAAGACCGTGGACTTAATAACAATTCAGATTTGACTTTTAAAGTGCTTTTAGAGGAATGTAACTTTAAAATTGATCTAGAAGGTATCTATTTTAAGCACACTTATCATTTCATTGTTAAGTCTCTTCTTATTAAAAATATAGAACGATAAGCACCCTACTACATTATTCTTTTAGTTTTTGCAAAGGCATTCAAGGTGGAGAAGTAAGTGCCTAAACACATTAAATTTTAACAGCA